TTAATGCGTCAAGTACCCATGACTCATATATATATACATATACACACATATATGTATATTACTGGAAAAACACAGCAAAATCCTTCATGATCTTTACCATCGAGAGGCTGCAGCCATGGACCAAATTCCTCGTTTTTCAGCCACTTTTGGTAAAATTTGTATTTTCCCGTTCTCTAGCTTTTATTAGCTTTAGCTTTAATATATTGCGATTAGGGGTGGAACGGTTCACAAAATCCACGGTTCGGTTCACGGTTTCGCGGTTTTCGGTTCGGTATATGTTGATTGTTAGCCTGACATGTTGGTCATGTTGCTGTTAGCATAAACAAAACGTGTTGCACAATGGTGCACACTGTTGCACTTTTATCCACAACTTTCTCTCCGCCGTCATCGTAGGTCGCTCTAAATGTAAAGTGGTCCCATACAGCAGACCTATAAAGTGCTGCTGGCGCGTCTTCCAACTCCTCTTCTTTCCCACTCGCCAGTCAGACACAATTCTCCACAACAACTGATTTTTTTCTGCTACATCCGGCTACGCTGCTTCGCTTCTTCTTCTTCTTGTTTACTACTGGTGGTTGGCTTTGGTCGCAGTACCGCCACCTTCTGCTCTGGAGTGTAAACGCTTCGCCTATGAGAAAAAGGAGCAGCGCATGAACCGAACGAAACACACGCGAATCGAAGCAAGACAGTCGAACCGAACGGTTCGGACGGTTTTCATAAACCGTTCCATCCCTAAGTATGTATATATATATATATATATATATATATATATATATATATATATATATATATTTTACTGTAAAAACACGGTAAAATCCTTCATGATCTTTACGGTTGACAGGCTGCAGCCATGTCACGAATTCCTCGTTTTTTAGCCACTTGGTAAAATTTCTATTTTCCACATTCTCTAGCTTGTTTTCTCGAACATAAAGGTTTACGATCAACCGGAAGCAGTTACACGCAAATATATTGCGATATAACATATCTGACAAAATTGCTTTCATAAACTTTTTTTTTTTTTTTTTTTTTTTTTAAATAAAGCATTTTAAATGCCACAATAATCACATTTAAAGAATTTTAATGCCAATTAAGGCCTTAATTTAAGAAGTAATAATTTTATGACTTTTTATTATTTTTAATGACCCGTGGAAACCCTGAAAAAATATGCCTTTAGTTGTTCCATTCACAGTTTGTTAACCATTTGTTTTATGTAAGCTTTTAAGGTTGCTGTAATTAAACCTCTGCTTAAGAAACCGTCTCTTGACCCAGATGACTTGGTCAATTATAGACCTATATCCAATCTTCCTTTCTTATCCAAAATTCTTGAGAAAGTAGTTGCCAAACTAGTTTGCGATCACTTCCACCATAATGAACTTTTTGAAGAGTTTCAGTCTGGCTTTAGAGCTCATCATAGCACTGAAACACCTCGGGTGAAGGTTGCTAATAAT